CACACACACACACACACACACAATATCTCTATGGCTGCATTCTACTTAACGCTCGCAACGTTCGCGAGCATCGTTTGTCCTTGTTTAACATTTAATAAACACAAGGATGAAATGATTCCACGAGCGTTGTGAGCGTTAAATGGAACGTAGCCTATATATATAATTAGAATATAACGATTATCCGATGATTAATAGAATATAATAATTTATTTGATTTGCTTCTTTCCATTCTATCTGTATTTAATAATAATTTATATTTGCCCCAATTTTCCTTTACCAATTGATTTTAATTTAGTCATAATTAATTCCATATTTAATAATATGAACATTAATTAGTAGATTAAACGAAATTATTTATAAACTTGCAGTAACAAGCATCATATTATTACATTTGTTAAATGATGCTTATGTTCAATCAAACGTCTCTTATGCATACTCAAATTATATTTTAACATTATTAACATGACTTTGCATATATATATTTTTAGATACTAAAACTAGCGAAGATTTCACCGATGAAGTGGAATGTATAGTGCCAACGATGTCAAAAAAACTGAGTCACTCGCAAATGGGAAAAATTAATCAGAGAGTATATGAGAGTTATTATGCGGCTACGGACATCTTGACGGTAAGAAGATTCGCAACATATATAAATAACGGTAATTTAAACGATTTTGCGATCGTTAATGCAATGCAGTTAATCGATACAGTATTACGGCATGTTGTAGATCAAGAGACGCGATCAGCATCCCGTTGTGAGTCTATTCACGCCACTACTCATTCGGGATTCGATCGTGTCGTACAAACGCGGGACTTATGACGTTCCGCGTATTTCTCGGCATAGATTAAGAATCCTCGATAAGCTCGGTGAAGGAAACTTTGGTTTGGTGAGTCTTGTATTTCCCATTATTGTCCTAGATATGAATCCCTATAAAGACATTCTTTTCCTTAGTTATTTTAAACGTCTTTTAATTTTTTTTGTAAAGTTTTTAATTTTTTATTTTTGAAAAGTAAACTCTTATTTAAGTTCTCTCATTTAAGTTCATCTATTTCTGACTATTTTTCTGAACATAAATTGCTATAAAAGCATCCTCTTAGATGTTTTTTTTAGACATCTTTGCTATTTAATTTTTTTTTAGAATTTTTAATATAAAAACGTGCATTTTATTTAGGTTCATTTATGCGAAGCAAAAGGCATACAAAATCCGGATCTAGGCATCCTTCAAAATCGTCAAGTAGTTATAGTTCGGTCCTTATGGCGCGGCGTAGTTGACTCTTTAAGGTAAAAGCATATCACATTTTGTTTAATGAGTTTCTGAAAAGCTCTTGAATTGTATACGAACATGTATCATTTTAGGGAAGACTTTATGAACGACATGCACATCTTGGCTGAAATACGGGATGTCAATATCGCCAGGATAATCGCGATTGTTGAGGAGGAGCCTTTTAGTGCCATTTTCGAATACGGAGAACTCGGGGATCTATCAAGTTTTCTAAAAAATCACGATCGCGATGCACCGATAAGGTAAAATTGCATAACAATTCGATTAGAGATTTTGTCTATTTTTTCCAAAAGTATTCACAAAATAATGAATTCCGCAGTTACGAGTGCTCGTTGAATTTGGTGACGCAAATCGCTTCAGGTATGAAATACCTTGAAAGTTTGAACGTACCGCATTGCGATCTAGCAGCCAGGTAACAATACATTCGTTATATATTTTGTGATAATATTACGTATGTGTGTTTTACATGTGTCAATACATTTTGTAGGAATTGCATCGTTTGTAAAGATTTACTGATTAAAGTATCCGATCAGGCCATGTACTGCAGTAAATATGACAGCGAATATTATGTCGACGAGTGCTATGCGAAGATACCATTGCGTTGGATGGCATGGGAAGCGGTCTTATCGGTAATTGTTTCTTTTTTAATTAAATAGATTTTAAAGAAGAAAATAATCTTGTTTAATCCAATTTTCAGTCATTCATATATACTTTATTTTTCAAATAGAATAATATAAAATTAAATGAAATATGTTGAGAAGGGCTACGGAGCCAAAAATAATAGATTTAATATATTTAATATACACTAATGTGTGTGTGTGAAAGGTAATAAATATAAAAGTAGCACTATATGAAAGTTAAAATAAACAACGATTCGACTCCGATCGGGTCATTCTCAACGTTAAACATATAATATTAACAACTATAAACATAATCAGAATAACAAGTTGATTACAAACTAAAAACAATAAAAAAGGGAAAATATAGACTTCAATTCAATGTAAACAACAATGGCAATAATTTTTCAGACAGTACATAAATAGCGATGATTAGATTCGAAAGTTTAAAAAATGTCATAGTGTATAAACAGGAAGTGTGATTTATCATTGATATCGTCATTACAATCAATTCTTTTTGAATAACTTGTTACCAGTAATCATAATAGATAAAATCGGTGTGATAATAAATCTGTTATGTTTTGAACAAATAATTAGGCAGGAATTAAGTTCACCACCTAATACGATGTAACGCAAATGTAGAATTAAAAATAGAATAATGAAAATATATCTAAAAAGCATTTATCTTAGTGAAAATAAAATAATATAATCTTCTAAAGAGAGGATTGTTTTGAGAGAGAAAAAAAGAAATGTTCAAAAAATTGAGACATTTGGTTATTTTATCCGAAAATTTTATAGATAATATTTAAATTAAATTGAGAATAATACTTCTCTCGTCTATGTTTAGGGAAACCGAAGCTGTCCATCCGACGTTTGGTCGTATGGCGTGACGGTTTGGGAAGTGTTAACGCGCTGCGAAGACGTACCGTACGCCGACATGACCTCAGAACAGGTGTTAGAGAACTGTGGCCTATGGTACTCGTTGGACAATGGCAGTAAGAAGAAATGTCCGCGAATTCTCGAGCAGCCGATGTTCTGCGCGGATGATCTGTACCGGCTGATGCTGCGATGTTGGTGCAAACTTGCGGAGGATCGACCCAGTTTCCAGGAGATTTACTGCTACCTCAAGAAGCTGACTCTGGATTAAGTGTGCGCAAATGCGAACGCATCTCTGCCGAAAGAGAATACGAAAAACGATCCATGCTCCAGCAGCAGCGGCGGCGCGGACCAAATCGATTACAATCAGCTAAGAAGCATCCTGAATTCTTTCTTGATCGTTTTCGCAGGTGGCTTGAACTAATTCGCGAATTGAATCGATTCGAGAAGTCATAAATGCCTAAACACGACAATGTGGGATGCTCTCTGGCCACTAAAATTACTGCTCAACTAGATTTATCTAATTTTGATTATATAAGTAAGTGTAGGCTAATAACGTAATGATAAAAATTCAATGCGGCGAATAATCGCAAGTTTCTCGTATAATCTTCTACGCATGTCAAGGAATAATCTGAGAATAATCTTTCAATGATTATTTCCGTAACAATCAGTATTCCGCGAGAAATACGTGATTTCGCGAGCAAGAGAGATTCATCTATTTACTAATTTATTACTTTACATATCTTTCCTACGCTTATACATATATATATAAATATAATATACATATGTGATACTCATTATCGTTTTTACTGTTAAAAAATATCGTTCCATTTCTTCTATATCTATTGTCTAGGTAGCCGAACGCAGTAAAATGACGATGTGAACAAGCTTTCCAACGAAACTTGTTGCAATTTTGCTCGAGTTTATTGCAGATTTTAGTCGCAAAGCTTTAGTCGCATTTTGTCGGCTGAAAACTTTATATCATCGTCAGAATTCGTTGCATGTAGCCGAAGTGAAATAATATTATAAGTAAAAAATCGGCATAAGCGAGCGTAATACTCAATTACGTCGAAGAATGACAATCAGTTTTGCTCACCTATTTATATGTACTTATTTTATGAAATAATATCACGATGTACTCGTATTGATCGATTCAGCTTGTCTATCTTAGGAAGAAGGCGGATCGTTTGTTCTTTAATCAAATTTCGCAGTGGCGCAAGATTTTTAAATAGAAATAATCTTCATATATATCCTTTCTTATATATATGTATCTCTTAAGCTAAGTCATTTCCACTTTTATTCGGAAATACATAATTCGGGATGTATTTGGAACGAGGATGCTCTTTAACGAATCGCGTTATTAATTCTTCCAATTTAAGAATAAGATTGTATTCGAGCAATTTTTGTGTGCCAAATAATAGTAATTCAGAAAAAATGCGTTTCAAGATGTAACTTTGTATGAATATTTTGTTCCAAATGGTTATAATTAGATCTCTAAAGCACTTCCATTTTAAGATACACCCCGTGCATAATAACAATGTTATCTAAGAAAACGATAAAAAAAGGAGCAAAAGAGCAAAAGATAAGAATCACAATTACGATTATTGGAAACAACGACGATAATAACGATTATGGTAAACGTACAATTTTAGATTATATATGTTTATAACAGATGTAACGTTTAATTAAAATCAAATTTGTAATATCAATCACATGCGTATTGTTTTCAAACGCAGATCCGATCTAATCTTGTCTATGTGTATGTTTAAGGATTAGCGATTTCTTTAGATTTATTTAATATTGACAAAAAGCGTTTCAACATGTTAAACTTCAGAGAAACCAAAACTTTATTTCGCACATAATAATAATAATTATTATTAATAATTAAATAACTAATAAATAATTTTTTATAAGTCGATTAGCAATTATAATCTTTACTCTTAAATCATAGTTCATATAAGACGTACGATATTCATTTCTTTATGAAAATCCTCGAGAGACTGTTCCCAGCGCTCCTCGAAATATATCCCTAGCAAGAACTTCGCATTCAATCCAGTATTTATAGACCATGAGAGATAATGATCTAAATATAATTGCCTCTGTCTGAAATGTTACATGATACACAAAATAATAATGACATATTAATGACAATTACAGGCTATCTTACAAAGCAGCTCACAGGTTTACCTAGGACGTAGTCGACTAGCTCCAAATATTGCGCCAGTTATACACATCGGCAAATGCATTTGTAAAGCCTCTACCCATTTAACTGCTACCTCTCCTAGCATCGTCGTCGGCATTAGAAGCATAGCATGAAAAATATCGTGCACCTCTCGATATCGTTGCATCACATAGGCCAACTCGATATCATCGACAAATTGCACTATAGGTCTATCATCGGGCGACACATTCTGCAATTATATAGCTCGTTCAGCAAAACTCACATTTTGCTTGATTGTTCTTCAGGAAAAAAAAAGATGTTATTAATAATACTTACCAACAGTAGTCTAATTGAAAATAATCTTGTTAATTCAATGAAAGTATTAGTGAAACAACATTTCATTAAAACAAGAACATGGCATGTTTGTTCCATTAATATTGTCATTGAATTAACAAAACTATTTTCAGTTAGACTACTATTGGTTAATATTTTTTTTTCTGTGCAGACGGTAAGATTCATCTTACATTGTCATCCAAGAAATCGCGATACGTTCTGCCCACAGTCCCAGACGGCAGATCTTTAAGGTAAGAAAGGTCGACGGTGGACGTATTTATGCGTGGCTTTTGCGCGAGTATACGTTGACCCTCGTTCGTATTCTTCATTTGTTGATGACAATGCATGAGAGCGTTTCTACCGGTAGTTTCCCCCAAACACGCTATCATGTCGCCTCGAGAAGGATTCGCCAACGATATAGCCGCCGAGCCCATCGTGAGAAGCACACGCTGCAGGGGGGATAGGGATACATGGTGCTTGGCATAGTCCTCCAGAAATGCCTCGCAGGCGGTCGCGAAACGGCCTGAAACCGAGTGAGGAAAGTAAGAAGATTTGAAACCGTGTTGTCAGTTAATAAATAAAATTTATTTCCATTCAAAGTATCTGTCAAGTATGTACAGATTAGTGCATATATAGATTAATATATTTAACTTTATGGCAACGTCGTACTCTAATTGATCTGCTTTCGTAATTAACATAATACTTATCTGGTAACACGACAATTTTACTTTGGTATATACATATTACAGTCAGGTTGTCGATATTATTTCACGCTTTCTACCTTGGGTAAGTTAAAAAGTACCTTAAGATACGAGGAACAGAAATATTCATAACAACTATTTGTCATATACACATCACCCTGCCATCGTTCAGAAGAAAGGAACGTAGATCTTAACGCTTTGTACAACGCTTTATATTATACAGAGTTACAGCATCACATTCTTATAGTATAAAAATTTACAATCATATGGCTTGTATTCTACTGGCCTGAGATTCAGTCAACAAAGTGTATTTTGGCTGCAGACTCTCTCTTTTACGAAACGTTACCCAGGTATATACTAAGCTACCTATCACACTTAAATTTAATCCTACAAAGTTCAACAACGAAAATATATAGTCTCCACCGATCACCATACCGAGATACGTCACGCATATATTTTTCAGGCATCCGATTATAGTAGTTGTCAGCGCAGAGTTATACAGTGTACAGAGGAGTGTACTGTACGACAGAATAAAACCCATTATGCACGACAATACAAACTGCAGAATAAACAGCGGATTTGTCCAATTGGGAAACTCTAATGCCAGATCTATATCGCCCATCCACCAGGCCATTAGGACTGTTGGGCCGAGCATAAACAAAGAATTATAATACATCAGTCCATATTTTCCTAATTCCTTAGAATCTAGCTTCTTCTTCATATATACACCATTAGCAGCAGTAAAGAAATCGTTCAATAGAATAAAGATATAGCCTTCGAGATTGAAGGCAAGGTCGTTGAGTGCGGCTACCACTGCGCCTAGGATCATGGTATAAACACTCAGCTGTATGGACAGGCGCGCCTTGATGCCGAGGATGTAGTACTCGGCGATCATTGTCATGAGGATACTGAATCGCCTCAGGGCGGTGAACATCGGTAGGCTTAGCTGCTTGGTGCCGCCCAGGCCGAATATCATGTTGCCGATGTATATCAGTGGCAACGGCCATATCTTGGTGAAGGTCGTCACCTCCAGATTAGGGAACTCGACATAGCGCAGCCTCTTGGCGAAGAATAGGACCAGTATTGTCGCGAGCATCTGGCCGATCCCCAGCACTTGGAAGGACGGGAAGGCGTACGACGTGAGGATGGTTTTGTTGACAACCGTTATCATGAACGACGACAGGCCGTAAAAGAATGCCGACGTCACCCGGACGAACATCGCGTTTTGCTCGTGTTCCGTCATCGTGGAAGGAAAGAACAGAGCAGCCTGCCGGTCTCTCTGCCACTGAACTTGCTTTTATCCGTTCATACGTGTCTCGTTATCCAAAACCACCGTTATTGCGATAAATAATAACACGAATTGAGGAACCTACACTTAGATAACCTTATCATTCCTCTTCCGTTCATGGCAGCGGCGACTTGGACGTGTACTGGACCGGCTCCGGAGTGAAGGCCTCGGTGCAATCCCGCGTGAAACGTGTAATTGTCAAGTCTCAAACGTGTGATGCGATCGCAAAGGCATGCGACGAGAGTCCTTCGTCGAACCTCATTCTGCAGAAAAAAAACAAACCGTGACAGGTGTAAACATGGTGGACTCTGAACGCGCGAATTCTTAAGCCAAGTTGGGATTTTTGCAGCATTGTTAAAATTAAATTAATCACAATAATGTTGTGGTTTTAGGTGTATTTTTTAACTAAATTTTTTGTACTATTTTTTATGTTACGTTTTTTCTCTGTAATTACGAGCGTCTTTTAAGAGCGTGGAAAATATAAAGAATAAATCTCTCTTGATTGTACGAAGATTACCGATTAATATAATTGTTATTCTTTTATAATTATTATTTTTGGGCACTAAATCTTCCGTTTTTTGCAATTTCTACATTTGGAGTACATTCGATGAGACGCATTAACGCTGTTTGTACCATTCTATCCTCATCATTTATTAGACATAAAACAAGGAAAGAACGACACAAACAGTTAATAGCGTCTTCCTAAACGCGCCCATGGTCTCAATTTTAATATATATGCAAAAATTTGAATATTACGATTCCCTAACTTAAAAGTAATAATACAAAGATAAAAGAACTTGAGGGAATAGGCGATGTTCAAGGTGCGCTGATCAAGAAAATCTCTCAATATACAAATTAAATTTATTGAAATTAAATTAAATTTATTAAATTTATTGAAAAGACCGTAGAACAAATAAAATCGTTGAAAAGATAATAATCTCACGAAATTATCTTTTCAACAATTTTATAAATTCAATAAATTCAATTTGTATATTGAGATTTTCTTGAACAACCAGCGCACTTTGAACAGCGCTTATTCCCTCGAGCCTTTTTATCTCTTGTGTTGTTACAAATATATATGCTTTCTGTAAAATATTTTACCTCATATTATTTCCAATTTCCCTTAGCAAGCAAGATCGCAGGTTTTTATAAGCGTATCGTATGACACAGAGATTGTACGTCTGAGATTCTTTGTTCAGTTCACATCATGCACGTTCGTTATCTTTCGCGACACAACGTCGTTCCTTTCAGTTCTTATCTCACCACGTTGCATTGACGTTGCATAATGATTCCCTAATTACGAGGCGAGCGACAGCGGAATTTGCCGGCACGGGTGCCGCCATTTTTTTCACGGTCGACGATCATCGTGAGTCATCGTGGATCATCGTGCAGTATGGATTTCAGCGAGCAGAAGGGGGGTGGGGAAGGGGGAGAGGAGTCTTCTCCCCCACGGGCTCCACGAGAACAGAAGGTTCGTGTATCCCTCCGCCGCTGGTTGCCATGACAACGACCGGAACGCGGAACTACTTTGCGGAAGTTCCCATTAATTCCGGATCGCCGGTGGCGGGCGACACGACTTCCTAGGTACCGCTCTTGAATTCGCGATACGAATTCCCTCGCACGGTCGACCGAGTCCCGGAACGTGAGATCGCCAGAGTTCCGGCGAGAGCGGTTCCTCGAGAGTCCAACCGAGCGGTTTTGCGTCCGCCTGTCGCCCGTCGACGTTACGAGCCGACGTCGATCGAATCAGAACTGATTCCTCCTGAAACCGTCCGCGGAAAGGATACCCAGGATTCCCGATGTAAGTACGCGATGACAGCTTTGTGTGAGGCACGAATAGGTCGCGTCCGACGACGAGACGTCCTGTGGGATGTCCGGGACGTCCGCGAGACTGTTCGCAGAGGAATAAACGCTCCATATGCGATGGGCAGTTCCGTCCCGTCCGGCGACCGTCGATCGATAATGAGGCTGATATTGACCGCTTGGAAATTGATTTTTCTCCATTGTCTATTCGTAACACGATCGAACAGGTCTGTGGTGAACTTTTACCGCGGCTATCCGCTCGCGACAGATCACGCTTTTATCTTTATTGCATCTCATTGTCGGTCTTGATCGAACTGGTGATATTCCATAGCATGACTGTTTTTTGTATACATATATATAAAAAAAAAAATGATGAGACAGTAGGAAATTGCTATTGTTCTTTATAAGAATTTCTTTTGACAAATAAAATACTAATGGAGTTGTAAAAAAATATATGTAAATATATACATGTATCTTTATGTATATGTATATGAATCTTTAATTTAGATATTTAATCAGTATATCCATTTCTACTCCTTTGTGTGATAATGTTTATTGATTCTGTTATATAATATGTATTTTCAGGTTAAGTAAAATATTTTTTTGTAGATGAAATTATATAAAGAGAAATATGAGTCTTTAATTATTTAGATATTTAATCTATACTCATCTACGTCTATACTTATTTACTTTATACTTCTTTGATAACAATATGTTTAGTGATTGTATCATATATTTTTAAATTTAGTAAAATATTTTTTGTGGATGAAATTATAAAGAGAAATGTATAAAAATCTTTAATTTGGATATTTAATCAACACTGGATCAGTCTATCTATTTATTTTTTACTTTTTTGTATATGGTAATGTTTTTTTATTCTATCATACTATATATGTACATATATATGTACAGTCAGTAAAATATTCTCTGTAGATGAAATTATAAAGAGAAATATGTAAGAGACTTTAATTTAGATGTTTAACACTAGATCAATCTATTTGCTTTATACTTCTTTCTAAACATATAACAGTGTTTTTTGATTTTATGATACAATATGTTTTCAGAAATTCAATAAAATATGATCTGTAGATATACAATGAAAAATATTTTATTCTTAAGTATCAAAAGAATATACAGCTTGTTGTACAATTACTGCTTCAAAGATTTATGTAAAACTTAGGAATAGTACATTAATGTCTTAACTGCTTCGTAGCCCATAATTACAAATCCCACGAAGAAAGCTATCGCTCTCGTAGGTTGTTGTTGCCAAAATACATATGATGCAGTATGACCTACGCGAGCAAGTACAAAGGTTCGAATAAGAATTTTGGCTAACCATGCCGAAGGTCCTGTTCCTAGCCAGAGATACGTGACAATGAACCAAGGGAGAATATTCTCCAAATCATTTAAATGTGCTCTGCGTACACGCTCCACGTCTGGGTCATCGTAAACCACCTTGCCTTTACCCGAGTGCATAGCATCTTCTTGATTTGCGAATGCCTACAACAATTAATCATAATTAATTTCATTCTAGTTAATAAATTCTGACATAAACAGACCACGATGGCTGAGTTCTCAATTTACTATCAGTGCTAAGAATCTATAGTATGCATTCCATGCATTATAGATTTTCGGCAGTGGCAGTGAATATCGGAATACAACCGATAGGATCAATTCTCTTATTTATTTAGTTAAAAAAGAAAATATATACAAAGTATTTCTTTGTTAAACTCGAATGTTTAGAATCTTCTAAGAATAGATTTGGACATAGAGATAATCCACATAATTTTTATTTAGAATATTTGTTGCTTCTAATGATTCAACAAAATATCAAAGGGCAAAAATTGTTTCAAAGGGGTAAATATTATATTACAATAAACAACAAATTTTTTCCTAAGTCATATTTTTTGAAATTTCAAGATTATTTTTTTTTTATGAAATTTAAATAAATCCTATGATTTTTCTAATTATTTTGCGTATAAAAATATTAGTTATCAAAAAATCAATAGTTAAGATATTTTATATTTTATTCTGGCACAATTTGACATGAAATGTTATGTAAATATTTTATAAATTTTTTATTTTTTGATAATTGTATCTTGTTTCTTGTACCTTAATTCTTATATGCATAGAATAATGAGAGGAATCAATTGGTGTAAAGAGAACATAGTTGTTTTTAAAACAATGTGCAATACATATCTCTTTTGGAAAACAACTATGTATTTTCAGGGTGGGGGGGGGGGGTAAGTTAATTTTTTCTTTTAACTAAGTTAAGTTAAAGTTAACAACCTTGAAAATTTAACTCAGTTAAGATACAAGTTAATGTATAATGAAATTAATTGAATTAAAAGTTAAGTTACTAAAAAAAAAAGTAATTGAAAAATTAAAAGTTAAATTTCTTTCTATTTTATGATTTCAGAGTCTTACAAATAACGGAAATGACAAACATATACTTTATTTAGAATATACTCTATATTTTATTTAAACTTTTTGTTTATATATACTGTTATATATATGTATATATATATAT